AGCGTCCTTGCTCCTAGTAGCGATACCTTTGTTACTAGTAGCATTCTTGTTCCTAGTAGTATGGCCAGGAGCCCCTAGTAGCGTCCTTGCTCCTAGTAGCGATGCCTTTTGTTACTAGCGTTCTTGTTCCTAGTAGTAAGGCCAGGATCCCCTAGTAGCGTCCTTGCTCCCAAACACCTTCGGTCCGTTGAATCCGCAGAACACACCGATATGCCGTCTTTCCAGGAAAACTCATACCGTCTGCAGCATGGTCAGGCTCTGCCTCCAAAATCCGATTTCATGCTCTGCCTCATCATCTTCATCCATTGGAGTCCGACCAAAAATGCAGAACGGACCAGCGAATCTGCCGAGCGAATCCCTCCGCGCCTGGTTTTTTGGGGTGCCTGGGCAACTGGCCGATCGACCAAAAACTCAGCGTTGAAAACATGGGTCGACCTACCTGCGGAGTCATATGTTGGAAAGAGCCATGCGGCCATGCATAAGGTGGCCTAGGCTATAGGGGCCTGGCTAAGGGGGTAGGCTTTGAGATTCAGAAAGACAAACACAACATGTGTTGTGCTCCTACAGGAACAACGGCAGTGGATGGATGAGGATGCAACAAGGTCCGATCCACTCCACAAAGGGAACAAATCTCGCCATCTCCGAATGTATGCTGTTACAAGATGTTACAAGTGGAGTGACTATATATTGCCTTGATTTTTCCTTCGGGGATCCCTTGGTTGGTCGTTCGAGAGAGGGCATTGACAAATTGAGGATCAACTATATATCAACTCAACATGTCACCAACCGCAAAGTTCAGTCATTGGCACCTTTAGCCTTTCTCATCATGAGACCGTCGCATCGGTGCCCAAGCTGTCCCCACCTTAGTCTCTAGACTCGACCCACAAAAAAAAGCATGCGAAAAGAACCTGAAGACCACGCGTTATGCCTAGCTATGCCTTGGTAGTTCATGCCACTAACCTCTGCTCCTTGACACATCACCATCGACCCCTCCGACGCCAGGAACTCCCCCGTCCTGAGCGGCTGCTGCCAACGCTGCGAGGCCGAGCCGAGCGGCCGCGGGGAGCGAGGGCGACGGCTGGTGGACTGAGCGAATGGCAAAGTGACAATGAATGTGAGCTAGCTCCATGGTATACATCAAATCGCATCAAATAGCCATGCTATTCGGCCTGGATGTTAGTGGTTATCCACCTGTGGCTATTCCATCCACCCAGTGGATGTTTATTGATCGTTTCCATCCAGGGGTGATGCACCAAACCACCCGTTTAGGGTCACAGCTGGTCCAGCTGGGCAAGCGTTTGAATGTTCTTTCCCATAGTCTGAACTATACATCTTATTGCATTATATATATACACACACTATGAGGGGAGGTTCTGATACCATCATTCATATGTGTCAGCCACGCTGTGGAATCCCTAAATGGAATGTCATCATCCCTGCTAAATAGCGAAAACCTAATACCAGTCATCACAGGCCACAGGTCGTTTCTTCTTCCACTCAACTGTCAGCTGCTCTTGGAGTGAAGCTTCCCTGCAGCGACAAGGCTGGTTTTGGGCAAGGAAAACGTACAGTAACAAGTGCTTCAATTCAGAAAGCAAACAAACTATGACTACGACTAATGTTATCGATCTTTGATAGCTATTGCTGTCAGCTATATCTATAGTATATATATATATATATGTATCCGTGTATATCATGCTAATCTTCCACCATTTCGCTGCAACCAGTTTCTCCATGGGAACTGAACTCAACATCACCCTCTGCAACCATCCTCCCGTCCTCCCGCGCGGCGCACGCGCGGACCGTTTTGTTTGCCGCGCCAGGAGTGGATGACGAGGCGAACAGCATGTCTCATACTTCCTTCGCCTGAGGATTCTCATCCATCTTCGCAGGGTAAATGGGGTAAATGGGGTGACCCACGGTCACTCCTTGAGGCTTGGAGGGTTCAGAAAGTGGGGATGTGGGAGGGCGTGTATACTAGAAGCTAGATCATGTCAGACAAGAATATATACGTATTAATCATGCTTGGGATGTAATCTTGGGTGGCTTCATAATCCAAGTCCCCAAATATTCTACACAATCTATTAAACATATAATAATCAAATGATAGACCTGTATAACTCATAGAAGATGCAGTATGACTCTTGGATGCTTTTGGTTTACCATCATCCAATCTCACTCCATGATCTCTTTACATCTAAGATCATCTGATAATAGGACACATCCAACCCATAGACCTCCAACATCCCGTATCCGAGATCTTCCAGCGTCGCACCAACATCGCACCCTTCGAGTCAGGACCTCCATAGACCAGGCCCAGACCTCCTCCAGACTCGGGTCTCACTTTGATGCTAGCTGTGAGAAGACGATGGACCCATATGGACCTGCAACAAAAACAAGACCCATATGCCTTGACGATTCGCCTGTCCCAGACGGATGAGCGACGAATCGGGCTAACCATGTTGGTCCTTCAACCGTCCGACTCTTCGCGCGAATCGGCTGGGTCAGATCCGATGGACGGAAAGAGAGTTTGCTTTCTTGAAAATCCTTCTTCATCCAATTGGAAGAAAGCCAATACTAAACACCTGCGGATTTTCAAGAATCAGAAATCACTGGAAAGATCGTTTTTCATCCTAAACACCCACTGGAAAGGTTCAATTCAAGAGACTGTTCTGCAGTCTTTCCTCTTTCAAAGTCTGGAGATTTAGCTTGGGCCGTGCGAACGTTGGTCTCTTTTGCTCTATACCCTTGGGCTGCCCCTCAGGCCTTCTTCGCCTCCGGCTCCCCTTCTTTCTCGGAGTCCGAGTCGTCTTGCCCCAGCAACAGCTTCGCCTGGCATCTCCGCTCGACGCTCGGCGAAGAAGTGAGAAGAGGGACTGGTCAAAGCATCGAGTCCTCTGCTCTTCCCAGAAACGGATGCCATCTAGAAGCGGCCGAACTTGGGAATTTAAGCCAAAGGCTCGACATGGGACAAGGGTTAAACCTATATAAGCGATCAGCGGTTAGCACTTTTGGGACGTGTGGCAAAGAGCCACTAAAGTATGACAAAGAGAAGAAACATAACAGCCCTTTTTTGAATGCCCTGCCGTGCTTTCTAAAAGGGGGCCCCAAGCCCTCTCCTACTATTTATCTATATGTGATTTATTCGTTTGAAAGAGAATACTTTGCCACAACATGCCACAGTCGACAATTTAAGAAACCGCCAGTCATCTGTCCAAAGATCCCAAATGCATGTAAATGTTGCATTAGCTTCTGCAGCAAATCCACACCTGGCTCCCGAAGAGCCCACTCTACCGATCGCCCCCACGCGCGGAACCCGGTCCCACCTGGGTTACAACGAAGCTACTGAGGTCCGCGACCTTGGGACCGTCGCCGGGGACGTGTTGCGGAAAGGACCCTGGTGCCGTAGCGTGTCTCATTAAGAATGACAGATCTGAAATGATCTGGATGTGTTCCAAATCCCGCAATCTGAAAGCGATCATCACAAACCAAAGGAGTTACATGATGTTTCATGGATTGGCCATGATCTGCCAGTGTCAATAATATGGCTGCTTCGAGCTCGCTATTGCCAGTGGATTCCGGAAAGATCCGGAAAGAGTCCACTCCTGGCCTTCTCGGTTCTCAGAACCTTGTTTACCAACCCTAGGGCTCCAAGCACATATCCTCAGAAGGTAGTTAGACCCCCCTGGCACCTACCCCAACCAAGTCCACTTCCCGCACCGGAAAAACCTTCAACCCCAAGAGACCCGACGTCCCGATCCGTCCCCTTCTTCGAGGCCAAGCGGAAAACAGCAGAGGTCGCTTCACAGGTTCGGATATCCGGTTGAAATAGCCTTGTGCTTCTCTTGCAGAATGAAGCATTTAGGTATATTCAGGTGAAACCCAGCAGCTTCTGCGATGTTGCAAGCACTTGTATACACTTATAGGATCATATAAAGGTCCTACTTCTCAAGCACTTGAATCGAGGGAGTCTTCCCCCCCAAGCTTCCCGACACCCGGGCCCTCGCAGCGATCCAGCACCTGGGCGTTGCTGTTCGCGTTTTTTCCGGTGAGTTCGGAACATGAAAGCCGCATGGAAAACCGCAACTCAGGTGTTGAAGCAAGGCAAATTGCTTGCTCTCCGAAACTTGGGAGAGCTTGGGAATTTGGGAAGGAAATATGGAAAGGTGTGGGACGTTGAAGGATGAACTCTTCTTGGAGTGAATCTTCTGACATCTTCTGACCCTCTTCTTGGAGTGGAAGTGATCTGGGAATCGGATCCTGACATGGCCAAAGAGAAGGCGCGTTCTGTTTCAAAGAAACACTTAAGCAACTGTTCAAAGTGTTCCAGATTTACCATGAGTCATTCCAGGATGCGGTGTCATCCTGTGAAAGAAGTACTGTAACATCGCAATGGAAGATCAAGAGTCCCCCAAGTCTCCCCGTGAAGCCACACGAAGTGTTAAAGTCTAAAGGGTCCGAGTCCAAGCTTCAAGTCCTCTAAGACTCGCTGGGAGACGGCTTAGCTGCGAGTCATCCGTTGCAGCACTCGAGGTGTTTGGCTGTCGAACAAATCCAGTTCTGACGCATTCCAGGCTTGGTTGCAGGGGGTCCGATTGTTTTCCAAGAGAACCTGTTCCTAGTTCCTTCTGAATCCACCACTGAACACCATGCAGCCATTGCGGTGTACATGAACATGGACTTCGAGGTGGTTAGGTCCCTCATAAATCTCCAGCTAATATATTATAAAGTGGGTGGTTTGAAGACAACTCTGAGATCGAAAACAACCAGGGTGGGTATGGACACTGAAATCATGTCCTACCATGTCCTGTGTCCAATTCCCAAACATTCAAGCGACTCTTCAGTGGGAGCACTGAAATGAGAGTGTATTTAAATAGGGAGACCTCCCATAGACCAGTCTACCCATCCTATTTAAATTTATTAATTAGTAAGATATGGGAGAGGAAAATATTCCAACATCCTATTCTAATACACACCGTTGGGTCCTTGGAGACCCCCTCAACTATCGGTCTCCACAAGGTCGGTCTGCGGAGTCGGTCTCCGGTGCCGCTCACCACGGGTCTGGGCGTCCGGACGCTCAGGGATTGCTCAGGTCCCAAGGTCCGCAGGAGGTTCTGGCAAAGCGGTTGGTTGGGGAGAACCAACGCGCCCCGGTGGACCTGAAGAAAAACCATGTGGTACGCGTCTCCTAAAACAGAAGCAAGCGTTTAGTTTAGCTCCCCATAAAAGTTCGAGTTCATGAGAAGCCTCGAGTTTTTGGAGAACAGCTTTAGACTCTCAAAACTCAACTTTTGTCAGCACTTACATTGTAAGTGCACTTACCCTGTTTTCCGACATGATCATAAAGAGCATCATCTGCACCAAAATACCAAGGTCAGCTTTGGAAAGCATATGACTCGGATGGCACTGTACCATCAGCTTGGAGCCGATTAGTTTGCAGTTTGGGAAGACACCACTCATTGTGCATATACAGTAGGAGAACAGGTGGCTTCAATCAATCAGGCATACCTTGTCGTTGGGCGTCGTTGACAACAATTTGTTTAAGGCCGTTTTCCCTAAACAGCTTTGCCGCGAGGGGTTCTCAATTCTTGCATAGAAACGATGCTGGGCCAAGATGATGGCGTGTCTGGATGCTGGGCTGAGATGATTTTGCTTTGTCTCCCTTTGTCTCCCTTTGGCGTGTCTGGATGCTGGGCTGGGATAACTTTGCTTTGTCTCCCCTTGTCTCCCATGGCATGTCTGGATGCTGGGCTGAGATGACACTGCCTTGTCTCCCCTTGTCTCCCATGGCATGTCTGGATGCTGGGCGGAGATTTGGCGCCAGGAATGGATCGGCCAAAAAAAGAAACTCCGACTGCCGCTGCTGTTTGGGGTCGATGCTGGTGTAATTCATATATACACATCAGACCCCGAAGCCAAGAACCCACCTACACCCATGATGGAGCAATTCAATTAATGAGAGTTGAGTTGACGGAAACATCCTGCACCACCTGGAGTCGAGGAACCAGGAATCTCACAGGATGTCTGTTAACAGACCTCAACAAGGCCTCTCCGGCCGAACCCGCACAGAAGCGCGGAACGCCTTGGCTTTGTCCGAGATATCCAACTTCGAGAGTTTCGCCTGGTGCTTTCGGCCGGTGACAGATATGGTGACATGGGAAAACTCTGTGTGGGGTCTAACATGAATTTGGTCTAACATTAACCAGGGTGGTTTGATGTGGTTTGTGCCAAAATGAGATCAAACTCCGCCAATGGCAGCTCAGCTGGCCGCCCTGACGATGCCAAGGTGCCATCCTGGCCTTGAGATGCCTAGAGTTGTCTTCGGTGTTGGTCAGCCGGCCGGTGTGGTTCTCGCGCACAGTAGACTCTTGATTAGAGTGGTTTCAGAGGTTCGATGGCACATTCTCCCAGTTTGGTGGTGTATATGGACCCCATCTGTCTAAGACAGCTTTGGGTGCCAGCGCCATCTACTGTAGTTTAAACAAATAATATATATATATATATTAAGAGGTCTACTGCAATCCAAATGGGGAGGTTCTATTCATCAAGAGTCTACAGAGTGTACGGTATCTGGGTGATGCGGCGCACGGCTTGCGGACGTTCACCACTTCCAACACCCCGGCAAGCTTGCTGACTTTCACCCTTCCTTGCGGATGCCTCGGTGATCTGCCACTGCGACAACGAGGTTTTCTCGACTTCCCTCAACTACAGCCGGTATCTGAAATTGACAGAAACGACCAAGCGATGAACCTGACACTCGGTGTGCCGTAGAGACGGCGCTGTCACCCAAGGAGCTGCAGGCGCACCGAAGCACGCTCTCTGATCCGTGTAGATGTGCACTCTTTGAACGGCTTGTAGACAGCAAGTTCTTCATTTTGCCCTCGCCGTTTCACCTTGTGTTGAACATTTGATGGGGAAACCATGTTTGGGGTGAGAAGTCCCCTTCGCGCGTGCTTTCTTTCGCAGCTGCTCACTTTGCTCGTCATGACTCAACCCGGCGGTTCCTACAATGTAATCTTTTTGCCGAGCTATCTCCCGAAAAGGACCCAAAACCATGTCAATCAGAATCTAAACCTGAAAAAACATGGCTTGGCCTCTTTGTCTGTGGAGGTTGATAGTTCTAAAACTCGACAGCTATTTCTACGAACATGTGGGTCAACCCCCCTTTGACTATCTGATACCGCTCCTTTGTTCCCCCTTTTCGCCACCCGTTTCGCCAAGCACCTCCACCACCTTGCGGTACTTCTGGATCTCCTATCCGAGCACAAGAAAACAGTTCAACCACCGACAGTCCAACAGGTGATGTCCTCTGCATGTGTCCGGCACCCCTGGGCTCGATACGCCGCTGCGCCAAGAACAACTGCAGCTCTCCTCCTGCTGCTCTCGCGTCTCCCTGAAGGGGATGCGCGCCCGGGATGTTAAAAAGAAGCATGTGCCTTGATGGGATCAATGTCTGACACGTAGGATGTAAATGTCCGTGGTTCTTTGCAGTCTTCATGTTTGGTTATGGTTGGTTCACACCCGTGTTAAATTTGTTCATTTCTTTTCACATCAAGTAAGTCTCTTTTGGTCTCATACTTGGTCACATAAGATTCAAAACCTTTCACACAGGAAGCAAGGAATTGCTAAGCTGGGGAAGAAACCCGCGTCCATCATGACAAGATGACCTACCGATGATGAATGGTTTAAAAACAGGGCTCTGTGGCTTGTGACTTGCAGGTTAAAAGCGCTGGGACTGGACATGGCACCCAAACTCAAGCAATAAAAGACCAACCGGATTGGAGCACGGATTGACATGGATTTCTCCTCTACCAGTGCGAACACTTCACCCAGCTCAAAGGGGCAAAAGATGGCAAATGGGGGTTCCCCCGTCAGCTCTCACCTGGGAAGTGTCCGCAATCCTCGCCATCCGTGCTCTATGGATTCCACGAAGGTAGCAACCGAACCCCCGCTGGCAGTGACCCCCACCCCAAAGACCTTTGAAATGGTGGGTGCTTGGAGCCTTAGGCCTTAGAGTTCAAGTTTTGTGTTTTTAGTTGTTTTTTTCGTTTTAAACAGTTTTTAACCATGATGTTGCTGCAGTTTGGACTGCGTCAAGACGCGTCTGCGCATCATGTCTTGGGTTTGCCGGCTGGGGTGGACAGTTCTGTGGAAAGGATAGCCAGTGACAAGTGGCTGGTCATATCTGGTCCTTTCTGATGGTCAGAAGGTCTATAGAGTCTAGGTCTATGCAGGTGGCTTCAAGACAATGAAAAAATCAACATCAATCAACACCATTCACTACAAATTCCACCAAGGACCGCGCACAGGCACTGGAGCCCGCGCACTCGCCCGGCCTGGCTTCTTTATGGGCCTTTTCTGCTTTGCCCCAAGCCTTCCGGAGCGACTTGGGACCGACGAGGGTCTGAAGGGAGTAGCCCAGAGTCAGGTCTGAAGGAAGGCGGCCCACATAACCTTCAGACCCACTGCAGTGGCGGATTTTCACAGATCGGGTGTGGGGCCGTTACAATACCGTCACGGACAAAGGGTTCACAACCAGCCGGTCTTTAGCCCCCCGAAAAAAGAATCATGCTGTCTTCATCGTGCTGTTGGTTCCAATGGCAAAGGTTTTACTTTTTGTTCTACAACAGTTGGCCCGACCGGTATAGACATGTGGTGGTTTGGGGCAGTGCAGCAGGTTGGCTGGGGTGAATTTGCACCATCTTTCAGGACCAAAAACCATCCCTTTCGTCATCAAAGTAGCCTCTTCTCAACCAACCCAATCGTCTAACCCCCCCTGTCATGCACACAAACTGTCTGCCAAGGATGCCTCCAGCATCCTTCAGTAGAACCGTCTTCCGCGTTTGTCCGGATGATGGAGTCCACAAACCCTGACCGCCTATGGAACCCTCAGAATCCTCAGAATCATGAACCTTCAGAATCCTCAGAACCCTCAGAAACATGAAAGAACCGCCGCTCACGCAGCCCGGGACTGACCGACCATCCCGACCTTGCAGGCTTCTCGATCCACCTGTGGCGGGGCCAGGTACCACCAGGTACTGGTCTACTTGGTTCTACACGAGGCGGTAATTATCTAATCAACCGATTCTCCACTTAAGTTACTATTCGCGATGCCCTTGTTACCAGCAATGCCCTTGATACTAGTTAATGTTAGAAGGCCATCTATAGTTGGGCAAACCTTTGCCACGTAGAAGTACTTGCGAATGTCCGGCCATCATATGCGAGATCATAAATGTGTGCTTGCTCTCGCACTGGGCATGTCTGAAAACAGAAAACAGAAGGGCGGAGGGCAAGCACACGAAGCCGGATATCTCTTACACATCTAGAATGGACCTTCATGCTGAAATGTGAAATGAGAAGACAGCCCCCTCTGACAAGTAATCCGTCTCAAGTCTCAAGCCAACGACGCGTGCCACGCGTTTGACCGTCACCATCCTGTCAGTGACCTACCATCCTTCCTGTGTCGTGTTCGACGTCCTGCAGATCCAGCACGCTCCGTCGTTTGAGGTGTTTTTTTCCACCCAACCCCACTGAGGGAGAACCAGTGGGGGAGAACCCATATCTAGTTTGTTTCCACAAACAAACTAGGAGACCAAGCCACTGGGTCTCCCCACCCACTCTGTAGATTCTGTCTGCTATCATTCTGCAATGCTATGCACAGAGACCCGCCTTGTTGAGGGTCTGGATATTCTCTCTCTTGATGCTTTTCACCTCTAAGAGTCCCCCATCCAATCCTTGGAGCCAACGCGGATTCGTCCACGAGGGCGAGTACGAGAGGCGTCGCGCTGCATCAAATTGACGGTCACAAGGAAGCACCCGCCGGCGGAAGCATACTGCGAAGCATCTCTGAATTTGTTTATGTCCTTTCGGAGTCAAATGAACTTGCAAGGAAAAACGGCACGTGCTAGCCAGATTTAGTTAATTTCAAACGCACAATAGGCAGCAGAATGGTGCCAAACATGCGCCATCAGCCTGCCCCATGGGAGACCTCAAAACTCCAAACCAGAACTCTGTCGGAGGTCTCGTTTGAAGGTTGGATATCTAAGAGCGATGGCCTCAAACAACAGAGCGATCAAACCTCGAGATCCAACACAACCCCCCGGACCAATATAGGCTTACCAGCATCGGTCGTACTTACTGATCTTAGTTCGACTGTGCTATAAACCCTCTAGCAACCAAAAAACAGTGAGCACCTGTGATCACCCTGACATATCAACAACAATATGTCAATATATATGTCAATGCTTCGGTCATGTGCCTCACCAGTATTCAGTTATGTACATACATATCCCCCCCCACCCAAAAAAAAAGGGATCTGAAATGGATCTCCCTGGTAGTCCACCATTCTCTTCGCTTTCCGTCCGGTTACCAACCGATCGCCGCCAAGGCTCGGATCTCCACCTCCCATCGTCCTTTGGACGCGGGCCGTGGATCCTGTGGAGAAAGCGAACGCCGAAGAAAGTCGGGTGGGGCCAACGATCTGTGTGAGAAGAGGGCATGGATCTTGGAAGAGAAGAGAACGTTTCAATCACCCAAACAATGGGGAGGCAAAGGAACATCGATTTAAACAAATCCTCGAACCCTGCCTGAAGAATCACTAATATACATTTCCTTGGGAACCTCCCGCCTATGATTCTTGGAAGATGATGCCTAGTCGCAAACACTTGTGAAAGGGAGAAACTGTGGGTTGGACTCTTGTGAACCTCCTATGTCGCCCAAACTGCTCAATATCCACCCTATATTAAGGAGGAGTTTTTCAAATCGAACTGTCAAATTGAGGATATCCAACGTTTCAATACCTTTTCAGAGGGGGCTTACGATGTTTGGATTTGGTTTCAGGGAACCTTCTGAGAAAAAACAACATGTGACTGCCATGCCGCATGCCCTATGTGCCCTATGTGCCCTGCCCCCTTTCGACCCACCGTCCTCGCGCTCCACCACCCCTCTTCGACCATTGAGGTGCGGAGCCTTTTGAAGGCCTCCGTGCGAGACGTCCGGCGACTCCCGCGGAGAACGAATTGGAAGCATCGCTTCTGAATTGAGAACGGTGCCGAAAGGGTCAAACGACATGAAAAAAAAACGGAGATGATACAAGTCCCAACTAGGATGAATCGTTATGATCATGTTTCGATCCTGACGTTATGGCTTTGGAGGGTGTGTCATCTACTTTTGCTGCGGTTCAAGTCAGGTGAAATAATGTATAACATCGATCTATATATAAACTTGGCATTGAGATGCATTGAGTAACAAAACAAGCTCAAACCGAAACACTTTGTACCGACATGAGCAGCAGGCCTAGTTCTCAGGCCTTTCCAACATGTACAGGTCTATGGAGACCAACAAAAGGACCACAGATGACCACAGCAGGTTCTTGGGAAATTGTGCAGGACATGGGCTACCAATCTCAGTGTCTTCCACATATTATTTCTACTTTGCTTTGAAACATCAGTGGTTGATGGCCTAGCCACCTGCAAGAAAGAGTGATACCGGTGTTGAAACTTGACAATAAGATCTTTAATGCATTCAATGCGAAAGATATGCGGAATGATGTGCCCCTATAATCCTTTTCACAAACTAAATAAGGGTGCCCAGCCATCGACAAAAACACACCCTATCATCACTGTTGAACACATTACATCTATAACTACAGTAGAATGTACATTCCGGCAAGCTAACCTCCACAACCCGCACAAATGTTGAACACATTGGGCTGCAAGGCGTACACCACCTAAAGAAAGTTGGCTGAAACATGCTTGTTTGCATACACGACTGAAATAGACTCACTAAAACAAACTGGGATAATGATCAAAAAGTATAGGAGCAAGGACGCTACTAGGGGCTCCTGGCCTTACTACTAGGAGCAAAGGACGCTACTAGGGGATCCTGGCCTTACTACTAGGAGCAAAGGACGCTACTAGTAGCTCCTGGCCTTACTAAGACTACTAGGAGCAAAGGATCCTACTAGTAGCTCCTGGCCTTACTACTAGGAGCAAAGGACGCTACTAG